CCACAGAGCCGGCCGCGCGAGCCACATATGCGGGCAGCACACTTAGAACAATCTCCAGGGCAACTACTGATGCCACTGCGACAGCAGCGCTACTCAACCGCCAGGGCACACAAGGGCCCCAGCGTCGCATCAGCCGCAACACAATGCAGTAATTAATGCCCAGTGGCCACTGCCCGACCCTCTGGTCAGTCCGCAAATACTGAGCTGAGCCCATAAGTCCTCTCGGCCGGCTCTGCCATGGGTGCCGGCCCTGTATGCTCTGGGGTAGGCAGTCAGTATGAATCTACATCTGTGTCTCCCCCAGCCTGGTCAGAATTCATCCGTCATCCAATGAGCAGTCCGGTATGGAAGGACCTGAACACCAGTGGGTGAAAACAACGCTAGAGGTGCAAACCTTTAAAACCACAACCTGTGTGACCTGCGAGCTGAGATATGAAACGGACAAGAGGTGAAAATGGTAACTGATGGAATGATTGGAGTCAAAAACTGTGCTGTCCAGTTAATAGAAGAGTCTAATATACAATTTCTCCCTAAAGATTGAAGAAGGCCAGGTGTGGTGGAGCACACCTGTAATCCCAGCACTTGGGAGGCTGAGGCAGGAGGATCCCAGTGAATTCAAAGCCAGCTTGAACTACCCCGTCTCAAAAAAAAGAATGAAGGAAGTACCTAGGGGTGGTGACCCAGGTCTGTAATCCCAGCACTCTGGAAAGCTGAAGCAGGAGGACTCAAGCCTAAACCCAATCTCAAAACAAGGGAGAAGGCAGGGGAGGGATGGATGTAGCTCATTGAAAAGGCCCTGGGTTCCATCCCCAGTACTACCAAAACACCACGCCTGCCTGGCAGGTGTAAGGTCCTGAGTTCAGATTCCCAGTACTACCCAAAACAAAACAAAACAATCAAGGAAGTAGGAGGGGGAAGGTGCTTATAATCTCAGCACTCTCAAGACTGACACAGGAGGATCAAGAACTCAAACCTGAGGGCCAGGGATTTAGCTCAGTGGTTCCACTATCTGCCTCGAAAGCGCAAGGATCCAAATTCAGTCCCCTATGATACATGGTAAGACCCTGCCAAAAAAAATTCAAGTAGATAAGAAAATTCAGAGAGGGATGAGCCTGGAGCCTGAGAGTAAGAAGCAGACACAGTCAGGAGTGGTGGTACAAACCCAGGATCCCCCTACTCTGGGTGGATAGCTGACAGGCATGAGAATTTTAAATTCAAGCCCAGTCTGGGCAATTTGGCAAGACCCTGCCTCAAAATGAAACATTTAAAAAGGGCAAAGTCCCTGAATTCAATCCCTAGCAACACTACCACCACCAAAAAAAACACAGAATTCCTGTGAACAAGCCCCCTCTTCCCAAAAGATCACATCCTACCGTCCCACATGAAGAGCAGTTTCTGGGGGCTCCAGGGCATCCCTGACTCTTAAATTTTTGCAGAGGGTATACTAAGTGATGTGGCAGGCTGTGTCACCAGCGCTGCCATGACCATTAACATTTACTAGCACTTAAGCACCTTAACATCTCTTACATCACTCAGTCCTCACAATTCTTTTTTTTTTTTTGAAGCAGGGTCCCTTTGTAGCCCAGGCTGTCTTCGACCTCATGGTGATCCTCCTGCCTCAGCCCCCCGAGTGCTAGAATTTCAGGTGTGTGCTACCACAACCGGCCCCACAATTCTTTTTTAGGATAGAACCCAAGGCCCCGTGCATGCTAGGCAAGCGCTCTACCACGAAGCGACATCCCCAGCCCTATTTATTTAGTGTGGTGCTTGGCCTTTAGGCCAAGTGCTCCACCACTGAACATTTAACTCCAGCTTTTTTATTTTTATTTTGAGACAAGGTCTTGCTAGGTTGCCAAGACTGGCTTTCAACTTGGGGCCCACCTGCCCCAGCCTCTTGAGGTAGCTAGAATTACAGGCAAGCACCACTGCTCCCAATTTAACCCCCATTGTACTATGAAGTGTGTACTGTTCCCCTGCCTTTTCACACACGGAAACCAAAGGTACAGAGTCAAACAATAAAGAGAGCAGGGCTGTGAATCCAGGCACCAATTGGTGGGTTAAGGGTTTTGTCTACAAGGACAAAAACATATACAGAAGTATACATTATGGTGCTGTACCTTAATTCAGGAACTAAAACTGAGACTTTTTCCAATGAATTGTATTTTTTTCACACAGTCGTATGAATTAAAGTTTTCGCCTATAACACCTTATTTTTATTGTTACTAAGCAAGAATATATATATTTCATAATTAAAAAAAAAAAACATAATAGCTTTGCCAGGCCTGGGGGTACATGCCTATAATCCCAGCAGTTAGGAGGCTGAGGCAGGATCACCACCAGTTAAGAGACCAGCCTGGGGTACATAATGAGTTCAGGTCAGCCTGACAGCAAGACCCTGTCTCAAAATACAAAAAAAAAAAACAAAACAAAAAACTATAGTTTTTAGTTTTGTTTTATTTACAAAATAGGGGAACAGAATTCAGGGCACTCACTGAGCTACATCCCTATCCCTTTTTTTGTTTTGTTTTTTTGAGAGGGTCTCGCTATATCATTCAGACTAAACTTCAACTCACCATGTAGCCCAGGCTGGCCTTGAACTCACGGAGATCCTCCCACTTCAGCCTCCTGAGTGCTGGGATTAGAGGCCTGTGCCACCACGCCTGGCATCTGCAGCCCTTTAAAAGATTTTAAAATTTTGAGACAAGGTCTTGTCAAACTGCTTGGTCGGCCATGAATTTATAATCCTCCTGCTTCGGCCTCCCTATGTCCTGGGATTACAGGCATGCACCATGCTGCCCAACTTAAACTTTTCATTAACAGCAAAATGACACAAGTTTGAGATCTTGGGAAACCTCACTTGGCTACAAAGCTAATTCATTTTGGTCTGAATATGGTCAGACTTCCAGAGGTAATATATAAAAGCCCCCCTCACCCCACAACCTAAATAACCAACCTATTGCTCTGCTATTGTTCTGAAGAGAACAAAGTAGATTATAACCATAGTAGGTCTTGGGAAAAGAGAAGACCACACACATGCATATGGGACTTCTAACAAATAAACAGCCTAAAGGGGAACAGGACAGCACAGTCACCTAACGTAAGCAATATTTACTTATAATATGACACGTGGAAAACGCCTCACTACTGTTCTACTGATAAGAGTTGGCTTGAGCTATGTACCTCTGAAAGATCAGTGGGAGAACCAAGAATGAAGGCTGTTAGGTAACAGGGTGCCCAAGGACCAGACTACTTCTACATGTGGGGTCACTGTCCACTTTACCAGACTACCTCTGCTTGAGAAAACCTCACCAAACCATCCCCAAAGGCACACAGCAACAGTCCTACAACCCAAAGAAGTCAGTTTTATTTGTTGTTGTTCTTTTTGGTACCAGGGATTTAACTAAGGACCTTGTGCTTGTGAGGCAGTAACAACAGCACCACTGAACTAAATCCCTAGCCCCCCAAAAAGTCAGTTTTGGTGATTATACCAATATAATAAACAAAGCAGCAGCCAGCCTGGGGGCACAGGCATGTAATCCCAGCACTCACAAGTTTGAGCCCAACCTGGGCAACTCAGTGCCAAGACCCTGTCTCAAAATAAAAAAATTTAAAAAGGGTTGAGCATATACCTCAGTGCCAAGGCCCTGGGTTCAATTCCCAGTACAAAAAAAAAAAAGGGGGGATTTGGTTTACCCTAGACTAGGAAAAGGAAGGCTTCTCTTATAGCCCCAAATAGCTGGAAAGAGGGGTGCTGCAGGGTTGAAAATCTGAGTTCTAATTTCAATTTCTACATTAAGCCTCATTCCGTTTATGAGAGGTTTACTATAACTGAGTTAAGACAGCATTATTCATTCAAATTCTCCAATCTCAAAAGAAATCTTGGAAGCACTGGGGAAGCGAGGGAGAGAGACATTATTAGTAACATCCTTGAAACTCATAGTAGGATGCGAACTCTTGCTCCTGAGCTTTGTCCCTCTGACCACTTTCTCCCACAGTGCCACCAACCACCTCAGGACAGAGGCGTCTCGGCCGCGAATATATGGTTTTGGCAAATATAGTGACAATCACCCTATCTTTCTCAGTACTTATTAGCTTTTTACTGCTGTTTTTCTAGTAAAACATGATTTTCTTTTCCCGAGAAAATAACATTCCTTTAACACAAGCAATCTTTAGAAAATCATAAAGGGAATCAGAGAAAAATATATCTACATGATGAGGACTGTTAACAACAATTAGTGAAAATTACATAAAGACCACATAATTACAAAGGAACAACCCAAAGGTAATGGATGTTTAGCCTCCAGTTAGCAATCATCTACAAGATACACCAACAAGAAAAAGATGCAACTCCCCAATAAAGAAACAAAGCTCGAATTTAACTCAGAAATAACTCAAGACATTCTATTGAGAGAAACAGTTCTGAAATGCATAACTTCTAGAAATTTTGCAAATATTAACTAAGGATGTGAAATGAAATTATCTTTTTCTCAGTAAGGAAACAATCTCAGGTTCTAAGGACTTTCAAAAGCATCCATCCCCACAGTATTGGGGCCTGCCTACTACCACTACCTTAGTCTTAAGCACAAAGAGACAAAGTAGCTTTTCTGACTTCCACTCACAGCTAGGTGGGCTGCTCTAGTCAGGTGCTGGGGGTCTGGACCAGCAGCTTCTACCTCAGTACCAACAGTCTATGATGTCTCCCACCTGATGGGCAGGGGAGCACTGCATCTTCCCTGTCCTGCCTGTCCCACTCTAAATGACAAACCTGAGAAAGGTGAGAAAAGAAAAGAAAACTCTGCAGGTGCAGCTCAGTGATACAATGCATGATCAGCATGCCCAAGACCCTAGGTTCAACCCTAGTACCAAAAAAAAAAATGTTAAAATTACAGTATACATATAAACCCAGAAATAAAATATGTAACATTAATTCATTTAACTTATCAACTTGGTTCCTAAATTAATGGGAAATAAATGTTATAAACTGGGAGGGAAATAGCTCCTCTTTGGAGATAGATACTGGAGATTGAACCCAGGGTCTTCCCACTGAGCTACAAGCCTAGTCCATTAAAAACAAAACAAAACAAAACAACAAACATGGTCTCACTTTGCAGCTCAAAGTGACCTTGAACGGTCAGAGATCATCCTGCCTCAGCCTCTTAAAGTGCTGGGATTATAAGCATGCTCCTCCACGCCCAGCCATCTCCAAGTCTTTCAGTTGCTAAATTGCCTAGGCTGATCCTCCAGCCTTAGCCCAGGGCACTGGGATTACAGGTGTGTGCTACCACATGTGGCTTGAAACTGGTTCTTAAAGGGCTGTTATCAAGAAATCAACCAATAACAAATGCTGGAGGGGCTGTGGGGAAAAAGGAACCCTTCCCCACTGCTGGTGGGAGTGCAGACTGGTGAAACCACTGTGGCAATCAGTGTGGAGATTGCAAAAAAATAAAAAAGAGAAAACTAGAGAGAGATTCCATTTGACCCAGTATTCCCTTTCTTGGTATCTTCCCAAAAGAATTAAAAGCATCCTACAACAGCAATATATGCACACCCATATTTACAGCAGCACAATTTGTAACAGCTAAATCTTGTTAAATAGCCCAAATGCCTATCAACCAATGAATGGATAAAGATGTTTTTTTTTTATACAATGGAGTACTACTCTGCCATAAAGCAGGATGAGCTTGAGACATAGTTATAGCTAAATGGATGCAAGTTAAGACTATACTCTTAAGTGAAAAAAAATGGACACACATATTTAAATACTGCATTGTTTCTCGGGTGTGAGAAACCTAAAGTGGAAATAAGGACTAAAATCTATAATAGACATTCAGAAATGGGAAGAAAATATTAAAATGAGAAGGGGCACGAGGGAGGAGGGAGTAGAAATGGAAAGAAGAGATAAGGGCCAGGGATTTAGCTCAGTGGTTCAGCCATCTGCCTCACAAGGGCAAGGTCCCTGAGTTCAATCCCCATGGGGGGGGGGACCAGCAAGATATATCATGTACAGATACAAATTCCCTATGATAAATGTTACCATTATATATATCTAAAATGTACCAATAAATGTTTTTCTTAAAAAAAAAAAAAAAAAAACCTGGTTCTTAAAATACTTTTTAAAGTGATAAATTCTCAACTCAAACTCTCTACATTGTCAGTTCAGGCTACCTAAAACCCTCACTACTATCATGAGGCCTCACACTGAATTCTCCTAGACTTACTTTTGGAGTCTACTCCATATAATCCCAAAACACAGATTCTGTGATTACTGAATAGATCTACTTCAAACACTCCACTGGTATGCAGGATAGGAACCCCTCCACTTCTTCCAAATACAGGGAAATAATTCTATAAGCTGTGCCATAAGGACTATATTGGCAATTAAGATCCTTGTGCCCCAAGAGAAGAATAAATTTCTCCCTTGGACATAATAACAATCCTACTCAGTGGTCTGGGTTCACTTGGGCATTTCATATCTCATGCCTGCTGAGCACTAGTGGCTATGGAAGGTGATGAGGTACAGTACCAACTTTTTATACTGAAATCTCTTGGGTACTTGAGAAAATAACAGAAGACTGATCTTTCTCCCAGTCAACACCAGTATTTCAAATGCTATTACATGAAAAGTTGTCATGCTGTCCCCCCCGCAAAAGCCCCTAATTGATTATGATCCCTTCTCCCCCAAACCCAAAGAACCCAAGATTCTCTTACCCTCTCTCTCTCTTCCTCCTGTTGTCTTATTCCTTCTCCTTTCCAGGGCTCCTGAACTTTCTGTAAACAAATTACCTAGGTTACAGGAGCCAGCAAGAGTGCAGCCACCACAGAACTGCAGAAAGCTCAGAAATTCCTTGACAGTCAGCAGTCAATCTGGAAATCAGGCCGCCTCCCAAACAACAAAATTCAAAGACGGAAGGATAGAGTAATGGGAGTTCCGTGCCACCCCTATGTGGTTAAAAGGGAAACAAATGCAATTCCTAGAAACTAAGATGAACTATCATAAGCGTTTGGATTCCATTCCCTGGCTCAGATACTGTGTGTCCCGCTCCCCGCCACAGGTAACCATGAGGCAGAGAACACTGGAGGTGGAGGGAGGAGGGTCTCTGCCCCTGAGAAGTGGCCTCTGAAGGCAAAGCTGAAGGCTGGGGGGATGCACGCGCCCTGTGTCAGGCACAGCGCCAAGTTCAGGCCCAGCTACTTCCTCTGGCCTCCCCTTACTTCTGCGAGGACTTCGCCCCCTGCCTACCGGAGGCCGGGTGCCCAACAACTACCTCCCTCAGCCAGCACAGTGGTCTACCTATTGGAGACACCAGCTGTCCCCCTCAAACCTTCAATCCCCTGAGACAGCCCGGGGGCGCTTTCTCCTGATGTCACCGCCCACTCTGTCCTCCAAGACCCTTCCTCGGGACGTCCCTCCTAGGCCCTCCAGGGAGCTGAACTCTGCCACCCACCAGACAGGCACCCGCCCCCTAGGCCCCCCATTCCTCCCCATCGCCCGCTCCGGCACAACCACTTCCGGCCCTCAAACCTTCAATCCCCTGAGACAGCCCGGGGGCGCTTTCTCCTGATGTCACCGCCCACTCTGTCCTCCAAGACCCTTCCTCGGGACGTCCCTCCTAGGCCCTCCAGGGAGCTGAACTCTGCCACCCACCAGACAGGCACCCGCCCCCTAGGCCCCCCATTCCTCCCCATCGCCCGCTCCGGCACAACCACTTCCGGGTCCGGGACGGTCACTCACTCACACCGTGGACCCCCTCCCCCCAGGAAAAGGGGAGGAGGTGGTCCCCCGCCCTCCCAAACACTCACCCGGAAGTGCTGGAGCCGGAGATCCCGGGAACCCCAGTTCCTCCACGCCCCCTCCTCCCTCCCCCCACGGGCTCCAGAGAGAGTCACTGTGGAGAAAAGGCGGGAGCGCCGGAAACGAAAAGGGGGGAGGGAGGGAAATAGCAAGGGGGGGTTGGCACTGAGGAAACGGGGAGCGCGAAGGCCGAGTCACTTCCGGGAATGGCCGGACACTTCCGGCGCTGTTAGCGCTCCGAGATGTTCGGGCAGAAGTCACGACACATACGGGCGGAAGTGACTTCTGCCTTAAAAACGATGAAAAAAAATCCTTCAGTGGATGTGACGTAGCAGCGCAAGTGAAGACAGGCTGGCTGTAGTTGAACCTTCAGAACTGCGATCCCGACTTCCGGAAAGGGACTTCTGGGGAAGTGGGAGGGTGGGGAACGCTACAGATTCATGAATCATGCATCAGGTAGGAGAGCGGTATGGATTCTTAAAGATTGGGGTCTCTTCGGCCGGTGATTTATCTCAGTGGTTCCGCCGCCTACCTAGCAAGCACAAGGGCCCGAGTTTGATCCCGGGTACAAAAAGGGGGGGGTCTCGTTTCTTTCCTACCCAGACTGAAGTAGGCGGGTGTAGGAAGTTATCATTTTCTCTTTTCCTCTACTTCAAAAATGTCTCAATGCTTTGAATATGCCAGAAAGGATAAGGTAGTGTGAGTACTGTAGTTGCCTGAGGTCCCTTCTTTGGCTGAGTACCTTCAAAAGCCGATTCCTCCTTTTCTCTGAGACACCTCCTCTCTCTTGGTCTTACGCCTTCGCCCACCTCACTGTCCTCACTTTACTCTTTTCATTGTGGGTGGGGTGTTGGGGATTGAACCCAGGGCCTTAACACTGAGCTACAGCCTTAGGCCTTTTCTTATTTTGAGGGATGTAGTCTGAGTCTCTAAATTGCCTGGGCTGGGCTGCAACTTTCTTATGCCTGCCTCAGCCTCCCAGAGTGCTGGGATTACAAGCATGTGCTAGCACACCCAGCTAGACTTGTCATTTAATAAATGGCTTATAAACAGTTGTTGCAGAGACGAATTACAGTTCATTGTGATCACTTAATATGATCTTTTCCAGGGAGCCTTCCCTGACTACTACAACAATGTCTCTGAATGCACACAGCCTTTAGTCTGTACCTTTTAATATTATTTAGTTATTTAATGTATGTGATTCCCCAGAAAGAGTGTCAGCTCCTCAAAGAAGAAACTGCTTAAATTCCATTGCTGAGTGCACAGTAAGTGCTGAAAAATACTGTTTGAGGGAATGAATTCTGCCACAAGCCAGCCCCTAATCTGGCCAGGATCCTTCTAGGCTCAGCTCTCTTTTGGCTGAATCCAAACTGAGGTACCTCCTACTAATGGGAAGAGCAGAATAGCCGCTGGCTTTGAAAGCAAGATCACCTTAATAAATATAGTAAGTCCCCTTTTTGGACATTCGAGTTGCAAACTTTTACAGATACAAACTGGAACTTGCATTACAAACATTCGTAAATGGAGCAAATTGACGAAGTAGCTCACAAGTCTGCCAGACATTCTCACAGTTGTGCTGCTGTGTGCTTACTGTATGGTACTCATTCAGACCAGGATGTTCGGAAGCAAGAGGAAAAGCAGTGATGTAGAGGGGACTGCTAGGAAATGCAAAGCAGTAACCGTGGAAACAAAAGCAAAAATAATTGAGAGATTGGATAGAGGCAAAAAGATGGTACATGTCACTTGTTCTTTGGGGTGGGGGTGTACTTGAGATTGAACTCAGGATCTTGCGCTTGCAAGGCAACACGTCACTTGTTTTTAAAACATGAAGCGTTCACCCATTGGCATAATCCCAAAGAACGGGGACAAGATCATGGAACATACAAAGTCTGCTGTGCCAACGGTCAATCATAATAACCAAAAAGCGTGGTACAGTGATAGAGGAGATAGAAAAACTTCTAAGTGGGTAGATGTAGGACCAGCGTCAGCATCGAGACCCACTCAGCTCACTGCTTATTCAAAAAAGGCTGGAAGCCTTTTTGAAGACTTGAAGAAAACAAGAGAACGAGGTGTATCTTTTACTGCCAGCCGTGGACAGCCTAACAGATTCAAGGCTAGAGCCAACCTTTGCAATGGACAAGTAAGTGGTGAGGCTGTGAAAGCAGAGACCACTGCTGCCCTAGAATTTCCAGGAGCACTTAACAGCGACTATGAGAAAGCTACTATTCAGACCCTATCACTGGGTCTTTTTGTTTTTCCTTAGAGTAGGAAAAATTTATTAAGGGAAAGAAAGCTTCTAAGAGAGACAAAGGGGGAACTGGAAAGTGGGTTGCCCACTCACACCACTTTTCATAGATGTTTTATACAGCAGACATGTGGGGAAGTGGTACAAAATGGGACAAAACTGTAAGACCCAATGGAAATTTACAATGTGGGCATGAAGTGGGCAAAACCATGACCAACCAACAAGATTACAAGTACAGTCACCCAGGTAATATTGATTTAAATGGGAGTTAAATGGGGGAGCAAGTCACAAAGCAAGTTAACAAAGACTTTCAGTAAGGGTGGGGTCAGGGACATTCTTGGAAAGGCTGGGTTAAGACCTTGGCCCCCCACCCAGGTGAGTGATACCTATTTAGAATATCAATCATTGCTGTTTATCCTCAGGGGAAGCACAAGGGTGTAGTAGTTTCTCTTCCTTTTATACTTCTGGCCTTCAGTGAATGTGTCTTGATTGCCCTCCATGTTGACTCCTTGCTATGTTGGCTCCTTGGGGGTGGCCCTTTCTAAGTGCCTGCAAGATATCTAATTAACTTACCTATCTGCACTATTCCTCCCTCTGAAGAAGGGCCCCTAATTGCTGTGAGGGGGCAAAGGACGAAGACAGCTCTGGCTACTTCCAGCTGAAGAGGGTCATTAGTTGTGATCAGCAGCAGTTAAGAGTAACTCTACAGAGGGTCTATCTAAAGGCCTTGTCATCTTAGTAGCTGCATAGCTTTTAAATCTGGAGGCGACAAAGCCAAAGAAATAGTTTAAGAATGCATAGGCCAAATTATAAGGTCAGCAGGGCTATGAGTAGTCCACAAAAAGGATGAGAAGGCCCAGGAGACTTTGGAATCCAACATAGAAGTGATATAGTGTATAGTTTAGCAATTATGAGCTGTTTACAAAATTGATCTGGTGGATCTGAGTAAAAGAAGTCTAGCACGTTTGTCACTGGTTCCATTTGTCTGACCACTTGGAGTTTGGCAGCCTAAGTTCATCTTAGTATGGAATAGTCTTTCAGTCAAACATCTGCATCACTATGGAAGCTTTGTCTTGAAATCCAGCAGCCACAGAGTAGGGAAGTGCTTTGGATTAAATACTCCGACCAATAATCTCGGTGGAAGAACCGAAATTCACTGGACCATTTTTCAAAAGGGGGGACAGAATTGAATCCATCAAAACACCTGTGTCAGCATCATCTCGCCCTCCGTGTACTGTTGCTGATGATCCTTCAGCTCCTTCATCTCTCACCTCCCTCCTACTCCAGTCAGTAACTCTTCCCGTCCATGCACTCCATGCATCCCCTCTGCCATTGTTGCACTGTACTGTACCACCCTTTTAAGGTAACTGTAAAACTAAAAAGTTTATTTACAGTATTTCTGTTTGGGTTTTTTTTTTTTTATGCTTTACATTGTGTATTTGTGTCAAAGGTAGATAAGACTCATTTTGTCAGATTACAAAAGGATCTGACTGAAGAATGTTCTCCAGGAGTGGAACTCTTCTGTAGGTCGCGGACATACTGTGATGATGATGCTAGTTTGCATCTTTTTAAAGTGTCAGCCAGGCATAGTGGTGAATGCCTGTATCCCAGCACATGGATGACTGAGGCAGGAGGACAGCTGCAAGCTCAAGACCAGCCTGAACTACATAGCAATGTAGAGGCACATCGATGCTCAACAACTAGGCCACACACAGAGAGGTCCAACAGGAGATTTTATTAGGAAAAGCAGGTTAGAGAGAGAGGAGAGAGGGAAAAAAGAAGAGAGAAGGAGAGAACAAAGAGAGGAAGGTCCTTTTATCATTTTGGGGCTGGGCTATTGCTTATTTATGAGGAGTGGGGTACCTTTAACCTATCACAGGCCAGGTTGACCTTTATGGGTTTGGTCCTGGAGAAACAGGTTTAACCTCCCAGGACCTCTGTGGCCTTGGGGGGAAGGGAAATTAAAGATAAGAGCATGAGGTCATTTTAAGAGCTATGAAGCACCAGGAAAATGTAGCCTGTGATGGCAGTGTCAGGTTCCTAACTGCAAGTGAGGCCTTGTCTCAAAGAAATAGTGTCTACTCCCCGCATCACAACATGGGGCTCAGCACTCAATGTGTGTAGACTAAGTAGCAACAGTTGGCAGGATAAAGATACTAAAACTCAGCTGTGACACACATGTAATTCCAGTTTCGGGAGGCTGAAGCTCACCTGAGTTCAAGGTCAGCCTGAACTGCAGAATGAGTGAAACCCTGTCTCAAAGAAAAAATTCAGATGTGACCTCCTGCCTAGTTAGTGATGGCTGATTTGAGAAAGTGAAATCTTATCTTTGGGCAAGGGTACAGAAAAGTGGAAACATGGGGGTGGTGGCATTCACCTGTGTAATACCAGCACTGGGAAAAGTAGAAACAGAAGTAGTCATCACTGTAAATTCTGGTTCTCTGTACATGAACCGGTCATTGCTGAGCCTTCAGTGCCTCTCGCTGCCTGCTGTTTCTGCCCTTGTGTTAAGAAGCAAATTCTATTCAGTATTTCAGTTAAAGACATCTCTGTATGAACATTAAAAATAGGGAATCCTAAAATAAAACTAAAAAGGAAAGTAAAAGAGAAAAGGCAAAGATGTAACATTAAAATAATCCTTAATTCTGGAGATGAAAATGGTCCCTTAACATAGAATAGTTTCTCTGGTGTGAAAAACTATAATAGTACACAGGATCCTAATGAGATAATTAATAATGTGAAATAGGAAGTAAAGGGCTAAAGGTGTAGGGAAAGTGGGAAGGGTGGGGGAAAGGTAATAAGGGAGAGGAAAAAAATATGAGAAACTGAAAAAATGGAAATAAAGTTGTTTCTAAATGGGGAGGGGAGGAGGGGGTGAAGGGAGGGCAGGGACAAGGGGAAAAAATAAGAATCAAGACCTATTATGTAAAGGTACAGGATCCCAATGATGAATGTAACTGTATTGTATACCTAGATTGTACCAATAAACTCAATAAAAAGAAAAAAAAAAGAAGCAAATTCTGTGGTACATGCCTGTAATCTCAGGAAAACTGAGGCAGGAGGATGAAAGTCCAAGCCTGGGCTCAGTGCAACCCAGTCTCAAAAATTAAAGGGAGGCTGGGATTTATCAGAGCCCCTTTCCTCCACAGGAATTGTAGCTCAGTTCCAAGGCCTGGGTTCAATCTCCAGTACCACCAAAAATAAAAAGAAGAAAGTACAAAGAGCAAGTTGAAGTGCTTTGAGCCCCTTTGGGCAAAGCTAGAATTGAAATTGATACACAAGGGGTACAGGGGAAGGAGACTGTTCACTGTAGCTGGGGTTCTCCAGTGCCATGCGGTCTCCATCCAGTCACTTCCGAATGGAGCTTCCCCCCTGGGGCTGCCCCGCTCCCTGGCTGGCTGGTCTACTTCACAGCGGCAATAGATCCAGACACTGTTCTCACTTGCAGCCTTCTGAGGACCAACAAGGCCCCTCAATCTGTTTCAACTCCAGGACAAAGAAAAGTCAGGATCTGTTCTGGGGCTCCAAGACTCACCATAAGTATAGCACAATGACTTGGACGTGGCTGTCTGGGATAATCCCTCGAGCATGGTAGTGTCTGGCAGCCTGTGGCACACGTGCATGTGTGCAAGCAGTGGCTGCTTGTCCCATGAAAGCACTAGGAGACCCACTGTCCAGCTCTGGACAGCTTGGAGGTCTAGGACTGTCTCCTCTGCCTTTCCAGCACCTGACTGGACGGGATGACGGACACTTAGGGAGAGGGAGCAGGTGAGGATTCCCAGTGTCTTAGTGTATTTTAATTTATTTAAATTTAGAAAAAGTGGCTAATCAGGCCGTAATTAATTCCCTCGTCATTAGGGGCCTCTATGTGTGCCTTTTGCATATGGATGAGCAGCAGGGTCACACTGTCCCTTTGAAGAGACACTGCTGAAGGTGAGCGCTCATGAGTGTTCCAGCTTGAGCTGCTCCCCCTTCTTTCTGTACCAGTGCTGCTCTCCTCCCACAGCCGCCCCAGAGAGAGATTGCCTACATAGCTGTGGGAAGCAGGAAAGGTTAAGAGGCTTCTTCCCCCACCCTCTCATCCCTACATGGCCCATCAGCACCTGGTTCTCCCTCTCCCTCTCCACCAGCCTCCTGCTGGGATCTCTGGGCCTGGGAAACTGAGGCAGCCCTCCTCAGAAGGCTGGTTTGCCTGGCCTCTGCTTTTAGTTGGCTCATCACCCATGACCCTGCTTGTGTCTTTCCTCTGTAGCAGTCTGTCCTTTTCTGAGGGTGTTTGATTTCCCACACACACAATGGTCCAGTCCCAGGAAACACTCCTTCCTGCACACGCACTACAGCAGGGAGACCCCCCCCCTCCAGTACTAAAGCACACACCTCCCAACACAGGCCACTCCTAAGTCTACTGTCAAGGGTACACACCACACACACACACACACACACACACACACACACACACACACACACGGGGGGGGGGGGGGCGTCTCAAAACCCACACACACACACACACACACACACACACACACACACACACGGGGGGGTGGGTGGCGTCTCAGGCACCCACACTGCCCTCCTGCAAACAATACCCTCCTATCCTGCCTGGGGTCACCCCATTTCCAGAAGGCAGGTGGGGCACTGGTGAGGGGGGATGGGACCTGGATGATTGCCATGGCAACAGAGTCTAGCAACAGCTGAGAAGCCGATCTGTGGGCCTTCCTAGAGCACAGGGTCTCAGAGGTGACTGATCCCAGCTGGGCAGCAGCTTCTCCTGCCTTCCCAGACACACCGGTCCCACTCCCTCGCCCAGCAGGGCTCCTTTCTGACAGAGGGCAGAGCAGGGAAAGCTAACAGCTAATAACCACAGACTTCTATCACCACATGGCTGGAGGGGGCAGTTGTGGGCTGGGGCAGGTTTAGGAAGCAAAGCTGAAAATAAACCAAACAGGCAGGCTCTTTCCTCTGCTCACTCATCTGCTTTCCCTTGCTCCATTTTTCTCTTCCTCCCCTTCACCCGCTCCTTTTCTGGCTGGCTGCACTGCTGGTCTTCCAGTGTAATTATCCCCTTTCTCATCTCCTTGCTCTCGGTCTCTGTTGACCTTCACTTGGGAGGAACAAGCCAGCCACGCTTCCAGCTCCAGTTTCTGTCCTCTACGGCTGCTCACAAAGATTCCCTTCGATCCCTCTCCTCTCCCCTCTCTTTCTCTCCCCAGGTAAAACCCACACTGGTCCCCAGCTGCAGGGCAGGGAGGGCAGGGCAGCAGGTCACAGTGAGGATGTAGGATCCCCCTGCCTCATCCTTTGCCCTTCCTGCCCTCCCACCCATTCTCTCCTTCCTACAAGCAGAACAGCAGACTCAAGTATCTTGCAAAGGCTTTATTTGAAAATTTTGAAACTTACATCCCACAAGAATTCAAGATTATCACCACAAGAAGAAAAAGATAATACAAAAATATATATCACAGCATAGGAGCCAGGTAAGGGGTAGGAAGTAAGGTGAAGACACTGGTGAGGCGGGCAGGAGGCAGAGGGCAGGAAGGAGAGGTGGGCAGGAGGGTCAGGCAGAGCTCCTGATGGCCCAGACCCAGCTGGCTCCAGTCCGGGGCCTGGGTGGAGGGAGGGGCCCTAGAGGCCCTGCGAAGGGGCTCTCACCCCACCCCCTAGAGTGACAGACACAGACAGCCAGGACAGAAGGACGAGAGGGACTTGGAGGGAGTGCAGGACAGACAGGAGTCCCTTTTCACACAGTGCAGCAGGCGACTCCCCAACACCCACCTCAGACAACTTCGCAGAGGACCTCACTGCCCTATTCCCTGTGTGATGCCAGTGCCCTTGGAGTGGGATGGGATGCAGGGGCAGAGAACTCATGACACGGGACCCCACGAAGCATGACAGACCAGACAAGGGCACGCAGAGCCCCCAGCTCACCTCCCACCCACCTCGAGGCACATGCAGGGGCCATAGAAATGAGACCAGTGAGCGTCCACGAGGCAGAGTGAGCACGCCACGCCACCCCATCCTGCCAGAAATGCACACAAGTGGCAAGGGACGAAGGACCAGGGACCCTGCCACTGAGTGACTGGGCTGAGCATGGAGTGTGTGCAGCATGGAGAGGTGGGAATGGAAACAGTGTGAGCCATCAGTGAGCAGGAGGTGCACGAGGGGAGAGGTGCAGGAGTGGCTGCCGAGAGCATGAGCATGTGCAATGGCCCGTGAGGGTGGAGGTGAGTGTGCAAGGCTTTCATGTGAGTGTGCAAGGGGTGGGGCCCGAAGTCACAAGTACGTGAAGGCCCCCACTACAGGAGGGCGAGCAGGGCGCATGCCCATGTGGCCATGAGTGTTCCAGGTGGTGTGCAAGGGTCCCCACGGCTGCCCCACCCTCAGTGGGATGGCGCCTATGCCGGCCCCTCAGCCTCCTGCTTGGCAGCACCCCAACATGGGGGCATCACAGATTCACCAGGGGAATCCTGAGAGGAAGAGGGAAAGGGCACAGTCAGGACCCAAGGGGAGGCAGATGGAAGGGTAAGGCCACAGCAGAGAAGGGGCTGGAGGCTGAGGGCAAAGCTGGAGTCAGGGCAGCAGCACGAGGACAGAGCCTGAGACACTGGGAGAAGCGAGGCCCCTACAGAGGAGCAGTCCTGGGTCCAGGCAAGAGGAGAGCCACAGGCTGTGGGAGCCATGCCACCCACCCAGGGAGGCCCCCCCCCCGCCCTGGAGACCAGGCGCTGCCCCCCTCGCCCTCCCGTCCCATTGCCCCTGCCCTCACCGGTTCAACTGGAAGGCTGGAGCCCCCTTGGACTGGGGCATCCCAGGCCGGGCTCCCCCTCGGGACTCCTCATGGTCAGGGGTGGGGGTAGGTGAATCCCCGAAGGCCCCTAGCACAGTTACTCCAGCAGGGGACAGGTCGGTCAGCGGCTGCTGGCTCTCCTCCTGCCTCAGGGCCCCTTGCTGCCCCGAGGGCCTGCGCCGTTTCTGGCTGCGGTCCCAGCTGGCCAGGCATGGGAGGAAAGATACTGTTTTGCACACACATGCGATCCCATCCCAGCCCAAGGCATTGCACACTGAGCCTCTCGCCAGGCCCCTCCAGCAACTTAATGCAAAGGCCCTGGCTGCTGGCAAGTCCTTGAGCTCAGTCTGCTAGGACAAACCCTATGGAACCACTCACCATCCCTAATGGCCTGGGAGTCTAAGCCATGCTTCCCTCCTGACCCCCCACCAATGCAGGATCCCCTAGAATTGCTTCCTCCCCCACGCATGCCTGAAGAGCCCTGTCTCCATGCCACAGGCCCCACAGATTAGGTTCCACCAAGACACGAGTGAAGGACTGTGTCCCCAAATAAATTTGTGCAAAGTGTCAGATTTTCTTTTTCACCTGCTTGCCTAAGAGGAGGCTCTGCAGCCTGGGTTATTTTCTCTGTCTCAGAGGGATGCCTAGCAAAGCCCCTAGCGTACAGAAATAACTCTCTGTCCCTGCCATTACCTGGGATTTCTCACTAACCCCATCACTCTTCCCAAGGTCTTGCCTTCATCCACTATTTCCTACCCTAAGGGCAAAAGTGCTGCCCGTGGTCCCTCCCTACTCCAGTCCGCCCTCGACCTCCTCCTGTAGCTTACCAGAACTTGAAGATGATCCCGGTTGCCACGAGAACAATGATGACAGAGATGGTGATTGTGACGTAGAGCTGGGGGTCCACACCTGATTGGGGTGTAGGAAGGTTGGGAGGGGTCGGGCCAAGGAATACTGGCACACACATCCACAGTGCCCACTCTTTGTGCTTCTCCAGGGCCTCCACCCTCACTACCAACAGCTTTCTCCCCAAGTTTTCAGCTCTTTTCTTCCACTCCCCCAAAGGTTTTTTTTGTTGTTGTTGTTTTGTGGTACTGGATATTTTTGTGGATTTAACCCAGGGCAATACTGAGCTACATCCCCAGCCCTTTTCTAAAATTTTGAGACAGGGTCTAACTAAATCTCTTAAAGCTGCCCAGTCTGGGCTTGAACTTGGGCCCTTCCTGCCTCAGTCTCCCAGGTGTGTGTCACCATGCTTCGCTTCTCCTATATAAAAGTGATAAGGATGAGACCCTGAGATCAGAAAGAACCCAGCTTTGTCGATAGAAGATGGAGCTGAGGCTGTGGTGTCCCAGCCTGGCCTCGCCCACCCCAGCCAAGACATCCCCCTGGCAGCCCCTTCCTCAAGTGTTCCTCCACCCGCCCCAGAACGCTCGCTTCCCAAGGTCTAGCTCAAATGTCAGTTCCCTGAGCTGATTAACAGTCACGTCTCTCACGTCCCCTAAAAACAGGCCGTGCAGTGCAGCAGCTCTGGGAGCCTCACTGAGTTGACTCATCCAAGTGTTCTGGGCACCTTCACCTCTGCATCCCCTCTGGCAGAGCCTGCCCTTTCAGGGGAGCCCCTAGCCAGGCCCCACACCTGCCCACCCTCACCTCCCTCCCTGCCCCTGGCCCTCACCTTCTCCACGCCCCCCGAACAGGAATGGCCTCAGGGTGGCAGGGGTCTCTCCGAGGATGAGCCCGTTCCCATCATCCCGCATGGAGTCTGAGTTGGGGTGTGGGGTAGCTAGCCCGTGGGGGGCTGCAAAACCATAGTCCAGGGGCAGAAATCCAGGATTGACGGAGTTGGGGTCCCCTCCATCCTCTCGAGATACAGTGGGACCCCATACAATAGCCCAAGGGTACTGGGAAGAGGGTGGCCCCTCCTCAAAGCCCGACGGGGTGGCCGGGGGCGCGGTGCCGGGCAGGACTTGCCGC